TAGAGATGATTTTATGGTAGCATAAATATGTAGCCAGTACCTGTAAAGCATACACAGAAACAGGAATATGGTCAGTACTGCTGAGACTCTTTTGGGAATATATCCAGAAGAAATTGCAGCTAAGAGTGAGAGTAATCAACCTAAATCTATTTTTTTTCCATAGTACAGACAGAGCTATAGATTTGAAAGCTGACTTTTGACTTACTTTCCTCCTCTTTCTAGAACACTGTGACCCATTTTCAAAGCTGACATGGAGAGTGGCTGCCTGTTTGTCTTTGCACCTATTAGACTTGCTCTCCGAGGTGTACTTTGGAGCTTACGACAACTTATTTTAGTCTATTTTTCACTCAGCTTAGTGCCTTTTTATTTAGAACACAAGCCTACTTGATGTGATTAGAAAGCAACGGGCATTGTGCTGTTATGCTAAAGTGATTTTTCATTTATCCAAGGGCCTACAATGACAGGTAGGCAGGCTACGTGACCCTTTTGACTGCCAAGACAAATATAGCACCATAACTGCATTGCAACTGTCCTCCCTGTTATGCCCACTGTTCCTGACTAGGTGTCGAGGTAGCAATATTTAATTGATAGCAAGGTCTGGTCTATGGGTTTGCTCCTGATTAGGATAGGAAGAGTTTGGCGCATTACCATCTTTTTCAGAAACATTTTTTAAATGGTTCGATTGGGTGTTGTTAAAGAGAAGTAAATTAACATACGGGAGAATATTTTGACTTAACAATACCACTGCCGCTGGCATCTAGAAGAGAAATTCACTCCATCGCTTCCATCATTTCTTCCATCTGTCTTTTAAAAAGCACTTGATCGGGAGCAAACTGAACTGAACTGAACTTCCTTATGCTGGCAAGGGCTGAAAGCACTTGGAATAAAAGTGCTCATTCTTGGACTGTTCTCGCATTTTTCTGCCCATCTCTGGTATTTCCCAGAACGCTACAAATACAGCTCGACAGGGAATTGTCTGACTGAGGGAGAGCAGGAGGGTCCAAATGAACACTTTTCGTAGGAACATACACATTTTGATAATGTCTGTGTTGGGAAATAGTTTTTTAGATCCAGGCAGGAATGTGTGGTTAAAACTAGGGAAAGAAGGGACCTGTTCAAGAAGAACTAGTAGCTTTCAAATACAGGTGGTTGTAGTTGAAGTTCTTGCCTTTTATATTTTAGGGGATTATTAACTGCCAGGTCACTCTCTGGTTTGTTTTACAAATACAGTTAAAAGAGGAAAAAAAAAAAATCGGTAGGCTCTGTCTTGATCCTGATGCAGAATTTTAAACATTAAACAAAAAAAAAAAAAAAAAAAAGCTCACCTATCATCCCACTCACTATTGGGATGATATCTACCTTTGGGTGCACTGCTGTCTGTGAAGAACTCCAGGCATACAGCATGTCCAAATGTAATCTTTAAAGAACATTGGGTTTACAGTTTTATCATGTCATTGCATAAGACATTTGCACTGAAGTGTTCCCAGAAGCACACAAGAATATGCCTAACAGTGATACCACATATCAACTGCACATTTAAACTGAGAGCTCTTTGAGGCTGACACTGTTCATTGCTTTATGTTTCAACAGTACTTAGCCCAAAATGACTCAGTTCTGGCTTTGGCACAAATGTTAAACATGCCTTTATTATCTTATTAATAACAAATAACACTTACAGATCAGGACTTTATTGAACGATGTTCTAGACAGAGACATAGTTTTCATTTTACTGGATGAGGATTGATGTCTGAGAGTATAACACTGTCCTGAGAACTTGAGTCATCGAGCAGAGATCTGCTGAGATCACACTTGACACTATATTCAGCCTTTGAGGCATAAATCAGTATGTATGTGTAATCTTCATCACCCTTAACCTGACTGAAATGAAAATATTGCACTGCTTCAGGCTCCCTACAAGTGCAGTGCAAGCAAACAAGGCCCAGAAAAGACAAACGTCAATCACGGGAGAAAAAAGAAAAAGAAAAAGAAAAACAAAAAACAGAGGCGTAAAAAAGTCAAATCTTATCAGAAACTCTTAGACTGGCATTTCTGGGCACTGTGTTGGACAGCCGTGGCCTAGATGCTGTCCTGGAGACAGACACTTACGTATGATGGGATCTGTGCAGACTTTCATCTTCACACATTGGTTCCTTCCACCCTCCTGTCATCTGGGGTCACCTTGCAGCTCCAAGGCACCAAGGAGCTGATCCCAACCTAGCAGCAATGGAGAGGGCAGTGAACTGAGCTAAGCAGAGCACCATAAAACAGAAAAAAGCGTCATCTTCTCCCCAAATTTCACACCACTTATTGTTTCAGTTGTCTTTCACACTGGGTAGGGATGATAGCATCATAGAATTGCTATGGTTGAAAAAGACCTTCAAAATTGATGGATCAGCATTGACCTTCAACACCACGCTTGCTCAACCTGGTCCTTAAGTGCCTGCTACACCATGTCCCCAAGGGCCTAATCTGCACGTGTCTTGAGCACTGCCAGGGATGGTGACTCCACTACTTCCCTCGGCAGCCTGGTTCAGTGCTTCACCAGTCTTTCTGTGTTCATTTTTTTTCTTAATATATCCAACTTGAACCTCTCCTGGAGCAACTTGAGGCCATTTCCTCTTGTACTATCTATAGATAGATCTCTATCTGGAGAGGAGATCGACTCCTGCCTCACTGCAGCCTCCTTTCAGGTAACTGTAGAGACTGGTAGAACATGCTGGAGCACCTCAATGTCTTTCTTGTAGTGAGGGGCCCAAAACTGAACTTAGTATTCAAGGTTTAGGAGAGGAAAAGAATGGTAGAAGACAGAGATACACATACAAGAGAGGACACCAGCAGTGTATATAAATGAAAGAAAAATTACTAATAAGAAGAAAGCCAAGAATACGTCAAGAAAAGGAGATAGGCGTGGTTATAGGTTTGTGGTCACTGAAGAGTGAGAGCTTATTTCTCTCGAGGACCCTGGTGCAAAAACAGCACAAATGAGACTGGAATGAGGCCTAAGGGACAGAATAAAAAATAATAATAATTAAAAAAAAAAGTAATTAAAAATTTCAAGTAGAGATGGAGACAAATGACGAGCAGATTTAAAAAAAAACAGGCAATTAAAATAACGT